GGAGCGGTACCAGGCACTGCCACCCCCTCCCCGGCCCCAGCGTGTCCGCGCCCCGGACACCTGCCGGCGGCGGGCGGGGGCCGCGTCTAGCCCCACCTCGCGCCCCGGCCCAGGTGGGCGCCTCCTAGCAGGGTGCGCCCCTCCGTCCAGCGGCCTGTAGGGTGCCTCCTACGTCCTGAGAGCTTGGGGTGCCGCCATCGCCCCACGGGGTGCCCGGGCCGCCATCGCCCTGCCTCTAGTCGCGCTCTGCCTCGCCATCGCGGAGGATGGGAGCGTCTGGGGTCCCGCGGGGGCCGGGCTTGGCCATTGAGGCTGGCAGAGCGCGCTGCGGGAGCGGGGCCTCGACCCCCACTCTGCGCACCCTCTCCCCCGTCCCCGGCTACCCCTAACCCTTTCAGATAAGAAGTTCAGGTTTAAGGCGTTCATCCTCCCAGCGTCTTAAGACCACGGAGAACAGCTCCAGTGGCAGGAATCAGGCCGAGTCTGTGGGAAGATGACCCAGAAAAGGCGACGTCTACCCTTCCGCAGTGGCAAAGAATTGGGGGCTCACTTTTTGGGCAGTTTCTTTACGTCCTTCTCTGGAACTTAAGAACGAAACGAGTCAAGGTAGAGGAACAGTGAGACTGGTGTGGCGGTGATGCGAGGAGGAGGTGGTGACACCTGCGCCCCCACCCCCCTGTACCCCCGCGGCCGTCGCCCGGACCCCGCGAGGGCCAGAACGAGGCCGAGGCGAGGGGAGGCGTTCTTGGGCGCAGCAGGGCGCCAAGGCTGGGGAGCGCCCGAGCGGCTGACCCTAAGCCAGCGCCCCGGGCTTGCCTGGCGGGCTGACCCAGGAGGGTGGGCGGTGCGCCCGGGCGGAGCCTGCGGGGGCGGCCGGGAGGACCAGGTCTGGCTTGGGCTCTTGGCGGGCCCAGAGCGGGATAAACGACCTCGACTAGGAAGGACTCAGGCAAGGCCAGTGAGGGGGGAAGCGAGAGGCCCCCAGGAGGGGGCAGGCGGAAGGCCGAGTCCCCTCCCCTTAGCTGGGGAGATGGGCTGAGGGGTTCCCCCTCAGGAGTCTAGGGAGGCACGGGGAAATCACCTTTTTTTCCTAAAGACGCTACTTTGGGGTTTCCCCCTGCACTCCGGCCTTCCCCCAGTCCTGCTCCTGCTAAGAAGCCGAGGGAGGCTTCTTCCTGCTCCATGGGCCAGAGCCTTAGCTTGTGGGATGGTGAGGGGAGCAGGACCCGGGTGTGGTCAGCTCTCAGAAGGTCTGGGAGGGGTTGAAAGCCACCCCTGGGGCAGAGAACCCCTTGCTTTCTGCCTGAGCTTGGAATGGGGTTTGCGGGGAAGGGAGGCCATGTAAGGAGACAAACCCGGGGGAAGGGAGGGGTGGGAGTATCAGGGAGAAGGTGATAGGGCCTGGTGCCCATCCACTACCCTGGACTGCAGAGCTTCCTCCAGGCTCCTGAGCTGCTGTCTCCTGCTACCTCAGCGGGGCCTGGGAGTGAGCTTGAGGTCTCCTGGGCTGCCCCTCTAGATTCTTCACACCCCACCCACTTGTGGGGGCTTCCTCAGCTGGCAGCCCACTGCCTGTTGATGTTTCCATGGAAGTTGGTGGTGGAGCTACTGGTTTCCCCGCTCTCTAGGGCTCAGATCCCCAGACCTAGGTTGCATACATTAACCTCAGGCTTCCAAACCCCTTCCTGAGAAGGCAGACCTGGGTTGTCAAGGGATCAGGGCAAACACGGTGACCAGAGAAGGGGTGTTGGACTGGATTTTCTGAGGGCTGTGACTTAGCTTCTGGGCCCCCTAGGAGTCTGGGTGATTGTTTCCTTTTTTTCTTTTTTAAAAAAATATATTTGTTTCATAATTTAATAAACAATTTGCAGATTGGGGGAGTGCATGAAGGAAATGCAGAAAAACACGCTCCCTGGGTGATCATTTCTATCTGGAGGGAAAGTAGGGACAGGGGCACAAAGGCATAGATTCGGAACTCATGGGAGGTCTCAAGTTAGGATGGTCCCAATCAGGCCTCCCGGCCAGAGAAAACGCCCTGGGGGCTGATCCTGAGCCTTGTCCCAGCTAGGGAGAAGCCCTTGTGGACCTGGCTCCAGGCTAAACCCCTGAGGCTGCAGATCCTTCTGGGGAGTGTGGTGGGCAGACCGTCCCTAAGCCCTGGGCAGGGCCCCTTCTCCACACCCCTCCCAGGCTGCTAACGGGCTGCAGCTTTCTGACGGTGAGGCCAGAGTTAAAATTTCAAAACCTTGCTCTGGACTGAAGAGTGGTGCTGGCTGGGCAGCTGGACTTGGCACGGCTGCCTACTTGGCCTGGGCAGGAGGGGGCAGAGGAGGAGTAGGCCTGTCTGGGCTCCCCGGCTGCCCCACCCCACCACCTCACAGCTGCAGGCCTGACTGTCTGCATGAGTGTGCGCGCGAGCATGTATGCACATGTGTGTATGTTTGCACGTGTGTATGTGCGTGTGTATGTTTGCATGTGTGCGTGCATGTTTGCATGTGTATGTTTGCGTGTGTTTGCACGCGTGTGTGTATGCATGTGTTCACGAGTGTATGTGCATGTGTATGTACGTGTGTGTATGTTTGCATGTGTGTGTTTGTGTGTGTGTGTTTGCACGTATGTGTGTATGTGCGTGTGTATGTTTGCATGTATGTGTGTGTTGACAGTGCTTCCTACTGTCCACGCCCACTGGGCCAGAATAGAGGGATGACTCTCGCCCTCTATTCTAGGACCAAGTCCTCTCAGGGAGCTACAGGTGCAAATATGGCAGATGGCTCCCCAGTGTGACCAACCACACCCAGTGTAAAGACTGCAGGCTGAGCTAAGGGGTAGGACAGTCAGAATATGGTCTTGGGGACCCACTGTGGATTTTCGCCTGTCCCTCCCTCCCCCAACTCACAGTGTCTCTGTTTCCGAGTTGTCCGGTCTGGCCACTTTCATTTCCCCTGGAGCTGGGTGGAGGCTGGTACAGAAAGGGGAACTGAGCCACCAGCCTTCCGAGGCCTGGGGGTAGGGCTGGAAGCTTTCCCACCCTCCCTGTCCCAGCCTTGGGCCAGGGAAGGGGCTGGCTGGCCGTACCCTTCCTGGGTCCCTGACAGCTCAGCTGACACTGTGCTGAGAAGCCACAGATGGAGTCTCCTTAGTGGTGAGGAGGCGCCACTTAGCAGCTGCAGCCCAAAAAGCTACTGGGCAGGGAATTGCAGGAGAAACTGAGGCTCGGTGCGCCAAGGCTAAAGTGGGCCTGGAATGACAGACGGGGGGTCCAGGACTGAGAGGTTGTCTTGGCTGGCCTCCCACCCAAGACCGGTGTGGAAACCAGCAGAGCTTGATGACCTCAGAGGCGGGTGGCTTTGGCCTCATAGACAGTGGCCCAGTCTGTGGTTTGGGTGCCTTTGGTTGACAGAAAGTTCTTTAACCTGGATCTAGTCTGCTTCAGTGGAGGGTGTCTTGGTGTTGACTCTGAACCTAGTCCCTTGGTCACATGGTGGTGCCTCCAATGTTAAGGATAGCTGTCCTCCCTTCTCCCGCTGGGTCTTCCCTTCATCACCCTGGGCACCCCAGACCCTTCATCCATTCCTCCCTGATGGGCCTTCCTTTTGGGCCTGGTCCCGCCCCTCTTTTGCTTTCCCTTCCACTGTGAGTCAGGAGGAGCTTGAGAGAACAGGCTAGGGATGGGGGACAAACAGCTGGAGGCGGGGGGCAGGATGCTTCAAGCCTCTGGGGGTGTACTGACTGATGTTTCTTAAGTCCTCTGTGGTCCCACACAAGGCAGGGTGTCCAGGGAGTGGGCGGGGGAGTGTGTGGAAGGACGCAGCAGGGACCCTCCTGCCCACCTGGAAGGTAAAGAAGATAGGTGGGCAGTGCAGGGTGGGCTAAGAGCCCCGAACCATTTGTCTCAGTGGGAAGTTTGGGGCCATTCATGGCACTATCGAGAGTGGAGTGTGGGTGCTGGGGAGTGGGCTAATGGGCTGGGGGACCCACGCACAAGGGGCAATTTTTGGCACATGCCCTCACATCAGCCTTGCTCCAGGCAGCAAGGTTCCTGGGAATGCCCCCTGCCCATCCCTTCCCTATGCCACCCTCATCAGTCACCTCCTCTCCTTACTTATGGAGGGTCCCTAGGGGAAACAGATTCCAAGCAAGTGGGAGAGATGCGTGGTCCCTGGGGGCAGTTGTGTGCCTTCGAATACACACGTACGCGAACTCCCACCACTCAGTTCAATCCATAACAGGTGGGCCTCCCCTCTGGGATGAGGCAGTTGAGGGCAGTTCTCTGAAGAAGGGGCAGCTCTGTTCCGTCAGCAGCCAGCCCTCACGACAGCAAGGGAATTGCCTCCCCAGCCAGTAAAGGGCACCTGGATAGGGGACCACTATGGCTGTGAACCCCTCCTCCCCCTCTCCCCAAAACCCAAATCACAGACACTGATGGCTGGGAAAGAGAACTGGCTTTGAACACCAGGACCAATTAGAGGGACTCCAGAGCCCCGGTCCCTGGGCGAAGGAGCGCCCTGAGTGCCCCCTAGCGGCAGACCCGCCGATGCGCAACCCCCTTCCTCGTTTCTTCTGCAGACACCTTTGCCATGAACCAGCCCGCCCCCGGGGCTCCCCCCGCACCCCGCCGGGTGCGGCTGAAGCCCTGGCTTGTGGCCCAGGTGAACAGCTGCCAGTACCCAGGGCTTCAGTGGGTCAACGGGGACAGGAAGTTCTTCTACATCCCCTGGCGCCACGCCACGCGGCACGGCCCCGGCCAGGAAGGAGACAACACCATCTTCAAGGTAAGCCCTAGACTGGAGGTGCTGCCTGGACCTCTGAGGCTCCCCCTGCCCAGAAGGGGACCCTCACCAAGTCTTCTTGAGGCTGGGCCACTCTCCCAGCTGCAGATGACCCTAGGCCTGGACCTTCTCTAACCTGCACCTCGGAGCAAGGTGGGGACCTTCCTGTAACTTCCACTACCCACCCACTGTCCTTGTCTCATTACGTCATCCTTATTACACATGACTACATGTTCAGTGAGCAAACACACTTAAGCCAAAAGAAGATAACCCATAATCTTCACCTTAGAGGGTAACCTATTGCCGTACTCACGATTAGTATCATTTGCTTATATTTTCAGTTTTCTGCATGTGTGTATATGAAATGCAAAAATGGGATCAAACCATATATTCTATTTTATAACCTGCGTTTTGTCACCCAGTATCAGGAACAGCTTTCTAAATCCCTCCAACGGAATGTTAAACAGTCACTCAAAGTGATACAGGTGTACATTGGAAAGGAAAGCATCTGTCCACGTCACTTTTACCATTTGCCATCCAGTCGGTTCTGACTCGATGATCACACACGTGTCAGAGTAGAACTGTGCTTCATACACAGTGGCTGATATTTTGGAAGTAGATTGCCAGGCCTTTCTTCCCAGGCACCTCTGGGACTCGAACCTCCAATCTTTCGGTTAGCATAGTAACTGTTTGCACCACCCAGGGACTCCACTGAAGGAGTCACCCGGTCCTCAGGTTTGGGACCCTTTAGGTTGCTTCAGTGTTTAGTGTTCCAATGTGAACACCACACCGCCATGCACACCCTCTAATTCTCACCTTAGAAATCCAAACCAAACCCGCTGCCGTCAAGTCAATCCCAACTCATAGTGATCCTATAGACGGAGTAGAACTGTCCCATAGGGTTGCCAAGGCTGTCAGTCTTTATGGAAGCGACTGTCACATTTTTCTTCCACAGAGAGGCTAGTGGGTTTGAACCACTGACCTTTCAGTTAGCAGCCGAACACTTAACGATTGCGCCACCAGGACTCCTCAATTCTCGCCTGACACATCCTAAATTACTTCTGTAGGGTTAATTCCTGGAGTTAAAAATTGCTGGGTCAAAGGGAAGTCTTATTTTTAAAACTTTAGATGCATATTTCTTAATCTTTGTACTTCATCTTTACCTTTCCAAAGTACTTTTTAAAATGCATTTATTTCTGAATAGGTAACACAGTCACACAATTCAAGATGAAAAAGGTATAAGATGGCTTACAGGGAAAAGTCTCTCTCCTTCCCTGGAGAGAGGTCATTAGTGTTACCGATTTCTGTATTTATCATTCTTGAGAGATTTGTGTACATATACAGGCAAACACGTACCTATCCTCTCCGCCATTTTTGAGAAAAATGGTAGATGAATATATCCTCTTCTGCACCTCATATTTCTTTTTTTGTTTAAGTAATATTTTACTGTGTTTTTGGTGAAAGTTTACACAGTAAATCAGGTTCCCATTTGACAATTTCCGCACAAATTGTTCAGCGGCTTTAGTTCCATTTTTCACAATGCGTCAATGTTCTCTTTAATTGCCTTCTGGTTGTTCAATTTCCAGGTCTCAAGTCTTCCTGCCCCCTTATCTTCTCATCTTTGCTTTAGAGTAATTGTTGACCTTTTGGTCTCATATCTAGATGGTTTTTTAATGGAGCACCGTACTCACGGGTAATATCTTTTATTTTGTATGCCACTTTGTTATTTTGCTATAAGGTGACCTTCGGATAGTTTCGGTTCAAGACTCCTCGAGACTGGGTCACTAAAGAGTATCTCGGGGCATAATCTCAGGAAGTCGTCCACTCTCAACTGGTCCAGTAAGTCTGGACTTCCTAAGATTTTGAGTTCTCTTCCATGTTTTTCTCCCATTCTATCAGGGTCCATCTATTGTGGCCCTGATTAGAATGGTCAGTAGGGTAGCCGGGCACCATCTAATTCTTTTGGTCTCAGGGTAGATGAGGCCATGGCTTGTGTAGGCTGTTAGCTCTGGAGACTGCTTTGAGACTTTGGTTTCCTTCTTTCTCTTTTGCTTCTGACAGCACCTAATATTTCTTCACTATCACTCCATGTCAGTATAAAAAGTGTCCTTTTCTTTTTTTTTTTTGCTGCCCAGTATTCTGCTTTATGGTTTAGCCATAATTAATCATTTAACCAGCCTCCTATTGATGGACCTTTAAGTTGTTGGGGTCTTTTGCTTTTACTAACAATGCTGCAAAGAATACCTCTGTAGGTACACAGTTTTCTATGGATGCTTGTGCATCTGTAGGATAAATTTCTTGAAGTTGAACTACTGGGTCAAAGGGTAGAGACAATTGTAATCCTGACATAACCAAATTGCCCTCACAGTAGTAATGCCAGCATAGGAAGCACGTGGAGCCTTCTTGTCTGCAGGCACAGTGCTGAGTGCTTTGTGGGCATTAACCCCTGTAGTCTTCACGTACCACCTTGCAAGGTGGGACGATGGGGAGCCTGAGGCAGGGAGAGGCGAGTGACTTGGCCCTGGCACACAGCTGGCGGGCGGCACATTCCAGATTCACATTCAGTCCTGCTCTGAATCCCGTGCCTTTTTCCACCACGTTCCGCTGCCCTCCCAGAAGCAGCATACTGGAATGCCTGTGAAAGCCCTTCAGTTTTGTGTGGTTTATTGGAACCCTGAGAGCAGGGGATGGACAGGCATCAGATCCCCCATGTGGCAGATGGAGGCACTTGGGCCTGCAGGGCTCTGGTGTTGCTGAAGTGACTGGGATGGGTCAGGCACAGGCAAGGTTCTCTGTGGTTGGCTGTCTTCTCTTCCTGCCCAGGCCTGGGCCAAGGAGACCGGGAAGTACACCGAGGGCGTGGATGAGGCCGACCCCGCCAAGTGGAAGGCCAACCTGCGATGCGCCCTTAACAAGAGCCGCGATTTCCGCCTCATCTATGATGGGCCCCGGGACATGCCGCCTCAGCCCTACAAGATCTACGAGGTCTGCTCCCACGGCCCGGCACCCACAGGTATCGTGCCTGGCCCTGCTGTGTGTGGGAAGGCCCAGGGCCCCTGCAGTGGGCATTGGTCAGGGACATGCCTGCTGGACTCTCAGGATTGGCTAGGGAATGGGTTATTTGTGGCATCAGGCCAGCGCTCCAGAGCCCTGTCCAAGGCATCTGTCTTCCTCACCCCTGCCCTTGTTCTTGGTGCTCGGACGGCTATAAATAGGTCTGCTGGGAATGGGTCAGGGAGCTGAGTGCCATGGGGTGGCTGGGCCCTTCCCCTCCTCCTGGATTTGGGCGGCTTTGAGGAGGCAACAGCCACAGCCAGAGCTCCAGGCCGCCTCTCTGGCTGCGCAGGTGGGCCTGGGTGGCCTTCCTCCTCCTTCTCCTCACCGGTTGACTCCCTCCTATCTTTCTCTCCCTTGCTACGCAGAAGCACAGCCCAGTGAGGACCACACCTTTGGGCCAGGAGAGGAGGAGGAGGAGGAAGAGGAAGAGGTGAGTGGGGCAGGGGGGCTGCTGTGATAAGGCGGGGCCCCTGTTAGGAAGTTTCCACCGCCCTCCTCTGCTTTGGGATCAAGCAGCCCCATTCCTGCTGCCGTTTCTGTCTCCGCTCTCCGGATTCCGAATGGTAGGTTCAGAGTCATCACCTTGGACCTCCCGGGGCTTTGCTGTGACAAGCCTGCTCACTCGAGGTCTGGCTGATCCTCCCCACAGCTGGGGCCCAGTAGGTACTACTGCCTGCAGAAGGCCGATGAGGAAGCTGAGGCACTGAAGCTTTAATGTGCCTGGGAGGACAGGGCTGGGCTGGAGTCAGGACCAGGCCCTGCTGAAGGGGACTGCTGGGTGGCCCTCCTGTGCTATTTCTTCAGTATCAGATCAATTTAATGACTTCTCTCTCCCGACCACCTACTGTCTTCTCTGCCTGTCTTCCCATCAGCTCCAGAGGATGTTACCAAGCCTGAGCCTCACGGGTGAGCCAGGAGGGGGCAGTGGTTGGGGGCTTAGTGTAAGGTACTGGGAGGGGCGAAAGGAGGCTGTGGAGAAGCCCAGGGCTGGGAGCAGGTGGACCTGGGAGAAAGTTCTAGAAATGGCATTAATGGCTCTGCCCACCTCATCCTCCTCAGAAGCAGTACAGCCTGGCCCCTCCATGGGACCCTATTCTGTACCCAAAGAAGAGCTCAAGTGGCCCCCTACTCTCCAGCCGCCTGTGGTGCTGGGCCCCTCTGCTCCAGAGCCCAACCTCCTGGCCCATCCCCACAACGACCCTGCTAGCTTTGGGGAGCTGCTCCCCGAGGTCCTGCTGGAGCCTGGGCCCCTGGCCGCCAGCCTGCCCCCTGCAGGCGAACAACTCCTGCCCGACCTGCTGATCAGCCCCCACATGCTGCCCTGTAAGGACCGTGGGTGGGCTGGGTGAGGGTGGGCTCCAAGGATGGTGGAGGGTGGCGAAGAAGGAAAGAGCAAACGTTCACGGGTTCCCTCCTTGGGGGAAATCAGCGGGAGAGCTGTGGGCAGGGTGGGCAAGGGATGCTCAACGGCTGCGGACGGGAGGCCCGGGCTGGCTCAGGAGTGGTGGGCAGCCTGCCTTCTGCCCGCAGTGACCGACCTGGAGATCAAGTTCCAGTACCGTGGCCGGCCGCCCTGTGCCCTCACCATCAGCAACCCACACGGCTGCCGGCTCTTCTACAGCCAGCTGGAGGCCACCCAGGAGCAGGTGGAGCTCTTCGGCCCCGTGAGCCTGGAGCAGGTTCGCTTCCCCAGTCCCGAGGACATCCCCAGTGAGAAGCAGCGCTTCTACACCAACCAGCTGCTGGACGTGCTGGACCGCGGGCTCATCCTGCAGCTACAGGGCCAGGACCTGTACGCCATTCGCCTGTGCCAGTGCAAGGTGTTCTGGAGCGGGCCCTGTGCCGAGGCCGACGCCACGCGCCCCAACCCCATCCAGCGGGAGGTGAAGACCAAGCTCTTCAGCCTTGAGCAGTTTCTCCACGGTGAGGCCCCACGTCGGCTCCTCCTGGCCTCCTGCTGCCCGGGAGCGTGTTTCTAGCCTCTGACTCAGGCTCTTGATCTTGCTCCAGAACTCATCCTGTTCCAGAAGGGCCAGACCAACACCCCACCGCCGTTTGAGATCTTCTTCTGCTTTGGGGAGGAGTGGCCTGACCGCAAACCCCGAGAGAAGAAGCTCATCACTGTACAGGTCCACTTACATCCCAGCCCTGCCTTGGCTTGAATATTGGGGGACATTGGGGCTAGGCCCTTGCCCCCGGGTGGAAGTTCTGGGCCCTCTGGTCCGTATGAACTCGGCTGCCAGAGATAATCCAGGCACAGGGCTGCCCACACATAAGTAGCCTTTGTGCAAAGTAGAAATAGGTGCCCCTTCTTCCTGGTGGGGAGCCCTGGCGGCTCAGTGGTTAAGCGTTTCGCTGCTAACCAAAAGGTCGGTTCAGATCCACCAGCTGCTCTTTGGAAACCGTATGGGAGAGTTCTACTCTGTCCTATAGGGTCGTTATGAGTCGGAATTGACTGGACAGGATTGGGTTTGTATTGTTTTGTTTTCTTCCTGGTGGAGTCCCTGGGTGGTGTAAATGGCTAACACTGTTGGCTGCTAACCTAAAGGTTGGAGGTTTGAGTCCACCCAGAGGGGCCTTGGAAGAAAGGCCTGGCAATCTACTTCTGAAAGGTTACAGCCATTGAAAGCCCTATGGAGCATAGTTCTACTCTGACCCATATGGGGTCGTCATGAATCAGAGTCAACTAGATGGTAACTGGTTGGTTGATTTTCTTCTCGGGGGATGTGGTCCACCACCCGTCCCCTGGTAGGCGCCCTTCTGCACACCTGGATTCAGCAGCCTGCCAAGTCCTTCCTGTCCTGTCGCCTCTTCTCGCCCCAGGTGGTGCCCGTGGCGGCCCGATTGCTGCTGGAGATGTTCTCAGGGGAGCTTTCCTGGTCGGCTGACAGTATCCGGCTTCAGATCTCAAACCCAGACCTCAAAGACCGCATGGTGGAGCAGTTTAAGGAGCTCCATCACCTCTGGCAGTCCCAGCAGCGGGTGCAGGCCGTGGCGCAGGCCCCTCCTGGGCCAGGTCTCATGGCTGACCAGGGGCCCTGGCCCATGCACCCAGTTGGCATGCAATAATGAGGCTGCAGATAGTGACTGGCCCGGGCTTCCCAGGTGGCTGTGAGGACTGAGGTGGAGGTACAATGGTCCAGTGGGCACCTGGCTGACTGCAGGGTCCCAGCTCTGGGTCTCCTGGAAGTGGATTTGGGCCAAGGAGAGGGAAGAAAGGCCTGAGCCCCAGGTCTTCCTCTGGAACTGCCTCTCTTGTGCTAACTCTGGTGTGCCTGGCCCTTGGGGAAACTCGGCTGTGAGCGCCAGTGAGTGTGGAGGAACTCCCTAACCCAGGTGCCTAGTTATACAGGGCGGATGGTCCTAAGGCAGCCCACTCTTGTGGCTGTCCCCATTTCCTATGGCAAAAAGAGCAAGAGGTGCTATAAGCCCGGTCCCCCCTCAACCCCCGCAGCAGGGCCTCTGCAGGGCATGGGCCTGATTTGGAGGTTCCCTAGTTTGAGCCTCACTTCCTCATCTTATGGCCTCCTGAGACAGGTATGAGCACTGAGGTATCACATCAGATGCTTAAGGCTGGCAGCTGTGCCTCCTTGAGAGCCTAAGAACCTGGGGTAGAAAGTGGAATTTTATGTATTTTTTGATTAATAAATGTTAAAAGCAGAGATGGCTGGGTTTTTTTCCCCAGTATCGGTTGCTATCCTAGCAGACCTTATTTCTGATGTTAGCTGTCCCTGTCCCCAGACCTGCCTCCATTCAGGTCGTTGACAAACACCTCCCCTGCCACCTCCTAGCTGATGAGTCAGCTGGCCTTCCTTCGTAACCTCTCACCTGGCTGGCTTTGCTTTCCAGAAGGCGCACTGGAGCAAGGGTGTGGACGGTCTAAACTAAAAAACCAAACCCGTTGCCGTCAAGTTGATTCCAACTCATAGCAACCCTACGGAGTAAAACTGCCCCATAGGGTTTCCAAGGAGTGGCTGGTGGATACCAGCTGCTGACCTTTTGGTTAGCAGCTGAGCTTTTAACCACTGTGCCACCAGAGCTCCAGACAGTCTAAAAGCCTGTTCAACTCAAGAAATGGCGGAAAAGGGTCGGTATTCCAGCTGCATCTGGCAATCATTACAATTTTGTTATCCTCACCTATATTCATTTGCTGTTAAATTTATTAGGATGCTGCATGCAGTTGGTAACTTACGTTTTGAATCTGGCTCACAGATGTGATTTTCTGGCCTGAACAGTTTTTTTTTCTTTTTTTTAAATCTTTTTATATGGGAGATTTTAAGCATTCACAAAAGTAGGGAGAAACGGTATGAAATCCCCATGCATCAGCTTCAACAATCAAGTCATGATCAGTCTTAGTCTTTCTCATCTGTACCCCCATCCTCGCCCCAACTCTGAGATTACTCTGAAGCAAAGCCCAGATTCCATATGTAAATATTTTAGCATGTATTATCACACCTAATATGAAGATATTCTTACCAGTGTCTAAAAAAATTAAGACAATCGGAGAAACTTAGAATGGGATCCAAGTAAGGGCCATACAGTGCAATGGATTTTTAATTCTGTAGGTTCTGCTTCTAAGTTTTTATTCCCTTGCAATTTATTTGTTGAGAAAACCAGTTTGCTCTGGATTTTTTTTCCCCAGGTATGTCGCTGACTGCACCTGTATTTAACATATTGTCTTCTGTATTCCTTGTAAGGAAACCCTGGTGGTGTAGTGGTTAAGAGCTACGGTCGGCAGTTTGAATTCACCAGGCACTCCTTGGAAATCCTATGGGGCAGTTCTACCCTGTCCTGTAGGGTCACTATGAGTCACAATTGACAGCAACAGGGTTTTTTTTTCTTTTTTTACTTATTCCCTGTAAATAGGTACTTAAATCTATTAAATCTAGACTGGATTCTTAGAGGCTTGATTGGATTTAGGCTTTTGTTTTGATGACCTACTAATGGATATTTGGGTTGTTTCCATCTTTAGTTATAAATGCTGCAGTAAATAGGTCCACAGAACGCTGATGCTCATGGCCCTCGGGGTGAACACAGCCCTCTAGCACCCAGTACAGTGGATCTCCCTTCCTTCCTCCAAGCCCTTTCTCCCCACCAAGCTCATCCTCAAATCCAACTAAATATTCCCTTTTAATTCAAGACTCCTTTCTCTTTCATTGACATAAAGAACCTAATACTCTTCAGTCTTCATAGAGTAGAAGATACTGGCTTTTCCCGTTTTTGCTGGAGTTACATTCTTGGAAGATAACTTCTTCAACTGCTGGTAAAAAAAGAAAAAAAAAAAAAAAAAAAAAATCAGGCATCTGCCTGTGCTGGTATGGTAGCCTTGTTCCAGAAGCTCAGATTTTAACTTTTGGAGTTTGACATTCATCTTTGTAAAATTATGCAGTTAAAAAATGCCATATTAGGTAAACAGATACATTGCATTTGTGGGGCACTGGTGAGATTCAAAAGTCCAAGCTCCTTATGTCCATGTATCCTACCTTCTCAGTCATTGACCTTTACAATCATTTCCCTTCAAACCAAAAACCTGTTGCTGTCAATTCCGACTCATGGTGACCCTACAGGACAGAGCAGAACTGCCCCACAGGGTTCCCAAGGAGCTGCTGGTGGATTCAAACTGCCAACCTTTTCGTTAGCCGTAGAACTCTTAACCGCTGTGCCACCAGGGCTCCTCCCTGGAAACCCTATGGGGCAGTTCTACTCTGTCTTATAGGGCGCTGTAGGTTGGAATCCACTCCACAACAGTTTTCTCTTCAACCAGCACCTAAGAATTACAAGGCACTTTTAGTATTAGTCTTGCTGGGAATAGCCCCAGTGGGTGATTAATGTTCCTCATGATCATGACCAAAATTTCTTGGCTAATCCAATCATGGAAAAGAGGGAACAGACAACTCTGGGGGGGATTTATGACTTAGGCAAGTTCAGATGCATGATCACTTGACCTGCAAGCAAGGAAGTAAGATGCCCATTCTACTTCCACGAGACAATGCCATGCAGGAACATAGCATCTACATTAGAGTACCTGATCCCAAAAGGGTCCTTTTTTCAAAATTAATATTTAGGTGGGTATCCTTGAAAGCCAAAGAGTAGTAAGATTGCTTCAGAGTAGGAAGGACTAGGCTTGGACTAGGCGTAAAGGCTTTTATTGTTTCACCAGCAATTGAGAAGGACGGCCGGGGTAATCAGATCTCACTCCTCTCAACACTCTTTCACGTACAAGTTTTCTTTCTCTCCTAATAATGCTGCTTTAGAGAGTAAAACTCTCTTTGAGTTTTTGATGCTATGCAGGAAGCTTTGTTTCACTGATTCCAAATACTGCTCTGGAGCTTTCAGATTCAGATGAAAAAGTTAAAATTGACGTGGCAAGGAAAAGACAGCAAAATGTTAGCATCAACACCTATGCCAGATGTATAGGACTAGATACAGCTCTGCAGGCAAGGTAATTAGCTCAAAGTCCAATTACTCTAAAATACTATATGATCCCACTTATACAAAACTCCAGAAAATGCAAACGAACCTACAGAAAGTAATCAGCAGCTGCATAGTGATGGGGGCGACAGGGATGGTGGGAGCAAATGTGGGGAGTAAAGGGTACGCTCACTATCTTGATTGTGGTGATGCTTTCATGGGTGTGTCATGTACAGCTTAGCAAATTACACCTTAAATACGCACAGTTTATTGTATGTCAATTATACTGCAATAAAGCTGTTTTCTGAAAAAAGACTGATTACTCTGTAGGTTAGGGAACAATCTGCTTGGGTGGCCACCGTGGAAGGAACATACTGCACATCTGTCTAACGTGCAGGAGTGAGCCATGCTTGCTCTCTGAGGATAATCTCTGAGGCTTAACAGGAGGACTTTTAGGATAAACTAGAAAATAAAAGACACAAAATGAGCCACTTTCTAAGCATGAAAGCTCTGCAGCCTTTAGGGCAGGGGCCTGACTTTTATCTAGGAATTAACTGCACACACAGGTATGTACTAGAAAACCACCAAGACTGCTTACTTAGCTGGTCTAGCTGGACCACTTCAGCGCTATGAGGCAGTGAAAGGAAGTGAAAACAAACACTGATTAAATTTTAAAAATTTATTGTTTTTTTTTTTTTCCTCTTTTATTTGTTGTTGTTGATTTGTTCTTGAGATGGCTGTAACACCAGACAGAACAGTGCCCTAACGTCTAATGCCTGTGCAGGGCTGCGCTCCTTCAAACATCAAGATCTGCTCTGGGCTCCCCTCTCCTGCACACCCCCCTGAAGTGATTTCCATATTTTTTAGTAAAATACAGTCAGCCCTGTAAAACTCTTTTCTCCATATTCCCACCCTCATTTTTTCTCTCTCATCTGTGGGGGAAAAATTAACTAAGAAAAAACACACCCTTAAAAACCCTCAAACTTAGAATATACATTTCTATCTCACCACCCGCCCCCATTCTGGGTCTTTCCTCCAAGGCTGACAATAACCCAATGTGGAGTGGAAGGGGATCTGGGGACTGAGTGCAGCCAGGGTTGGTGTATCAGTGAATTCTGGCCCTGGCCAAGTCCTGAGTGTCACTGACGTGACAGAAAGCAGAACAGACTCCGTGCTTACTCCTCCTCTGAACAACTTGAAAGGTGGGAAGAAACAGCTGAGGCGGGCGGGTGAAATGTCTACTCACGTGTGTTAAAAGAGGAGGGGGAGAGAGAAGGAACAAACAACAGAATACTCAAAGAGACACATTTTACCTTGACTCTTTCTTTCCCACTGCAGCAATTTAATTCATTTGAACTCCCACATCTTCCCTAAGTAAATGTTTATTGTTTCACAGAAAAGTCTGTACTTTTACTTTTTGTGTGCACACGTGCACTTGCATGGGTGTGTGTATGTGTGCATACGTGTGTGTGTTATTTGCTTCCAGGCAAATGTTTCAGTTCTGGTTTCAATTTAGTTTTCTTTTTTTCCTTTTTTATTTCCTTAAAAATTTTTTTTCCTTTTAGAAACAAGTTCACCAGGAAACCAACTTCCCTCCCACCATGCCGGCCAGGCCGCAGCCATTTTTTTTAAACCGCGCTGATTTTCCCTCACAGTCCCAAACAGGAACTCCTCTGAACGGCCTCAGAAGGCTGGAGTCTCTCCCTGTCTGGCGGGACGCCCTGGTGGCGGTGAAGGCCCCTTTGCCACACGGAGGTTTCTGATTGTGGGACACAGTCTGGATTTTGTTTTCTTCCTGTCTTCTAATTAAAAAAGACATTCCTGGCAAAAGAGAGAAGATAGTCAAGCACTGTGCTCAAGGAGATGGTGAGCATTTTATAAAGTCAACCTCGAGGCAGAGATTTCTATTCTTGCTCAGGTACCTCATTCTGGCCTTGCCTTAAGAACACAATAAAAAAAAATCAAAATAAAAAGTTGGATTTTTACTTGTGATTTCAAGGGAGCTACTACTTTAATAAGCAACATCTGAAGTGGTTTTCTGTTTTTCTAAGACTGAGTAGTGTACTGTGGAAACGGGATTATATGAGGCGGTAAGGAGTAGGTTTCCAGGCCTCCCATTCCAAATCAACCAGAAAAGCTCCACGCAGTCTGTTTAAATACCGGGGTTTCATGTAACATTTCGTTTTGAAAGAAGGCTTCACTTACCAATGGAAGTTTAAAAACCACTGATTTAGGCTACTCAAAGGGTACTGGGTAAAACTATTAAGTGGAGTGGTTAAGAGTGAGGACTGTGGTATTGGAATGTCTATATTTGAATTCTGGCTCCACCAGTTACAGACTGTGTGACATCTCAACCAAATTGTTTAACATCTCTGCACTTCAATTTCCTCATCTGTAAAATGGGAGTAATAAAAGTAACCAACCCATGTGAGATTGTTAACCATTGTCATAGGGCAACATTTGTAGTAACTGTTAAATGAGAAACTATTTTGTTCTGTAAGCCTTCATCTTAAGTGAGA